TGGTGCCACATCAGCAAATGAAGGTCTCGAAAGCTTTCTCTTTTCCATGAGTAAGGCTGGGTTTACTCAGATGTTGCAGCTCTTTCCCAATCCTATTTTGCGAGCCTTTTAGCCTAAACGGACTATTCCTAAAGTTGCACGGTAATGTACCAAACAGTGTTTCTTTGCTATTCATATTGTCAAAAGACAATACAAGAACAAAATGACAAAATAAATGAAAAATTAGAAATGATACAAAATCTACACACAGAAATCCCGAAGATTAATACTAAATTTTCAGAAATAGATGGGACATTGAATGGGCAAAAGAGCAGAATTGAATCAATGGAAGACAGAATTAGGGAGACTAAAGGCAAATATCTGAACACTTCTTTAGAAAGGGATATGCCAGGAAAAAAGATTAAAACAAAATGAAGAAAGCCTAAGGTTCATGTGGGATATCATCAAAAGGAATAACCTACATGTCATCAGAATTCCAGTGAACAGGAAGACACAAATAAAACCACAGAGAAAATTGTCAAAGATTTGTTGGAAGAGATTTCCCTGGGATGATGAAAGATGAGAATATATCCATTGAGGAAGTCCCACGAACCCCAAACAGGGTAGACCCCAAAAGAAAATCACCCAGACATATCATCATCAAACTTACCAAAACCAAAGAAAAAGAAAAAATCATGAGAGCAGCATGGGAAAAACAAAAAGTCAGCTACACGGGGCAACCAATAAGAGTTAGCTTAGATTTCTCAGCAGAAACCATGCAGGCAAGAAGACAATGGTATGGTATATATAAAACAATGAAGGAGAAAAATTTCCAACCAAGAATTATGTACCCAGCAAAACTGTCCCTCAAAAATGATGGGGAAATTAGGACATTTCCAGATAAGGAGAAATTAAGTGAGTTTGTTAAAACCATACCAACCTTACAAAAGAGTGCATGGAAGGGAAGGACACAGGGAAGAGGTAACTAAGGACACGGGAGGAAATGGGAGGGGAGATGTTGCACTGTGGAAAACTGCAGTCAGTGTCATGAGACAAAGTGTATGTGAACTGCTGTATGAAAAGTGAATTTGCTCTGTAAACTTTCACCCAAATTACTGCTGAAAATAAGCATATTTAAGTTGTTTCTGACATAAAAGTAAATATTATCTCTAACAGTTTTCTGTACACAATCCTTTTGGTTGTGATTATCATTCTGACTCTTTCAGCCTACCTTCAGGTAAGATTTTAGTACAAATCAATACAGATGATGACAGTACTAAACCAAAACCAAACTCACTGCCATTGAGTCGAATTCGACTCATAGTGACCCCTCTGGGTTTCTGAAGTAGTAAATCTTTATGGAAGTAGACTGCCCAGTCTTCCTCAGAATAGCTGGTGGGTTTGAACAGCAGTCAAATGCCTTAGGCACTGCACCACCAGAGCTGTTTTATGGTATTTTTTTTTTACAGCAATATAAATTACAGTGATGTCTTTCAAAAATATTTATTTCACTATATTGTGTAACACTGTTTATATTCTAGTTACTAGAAAGTGAATATTTGACTAAGTTCACTTTAAACAATTTATTTCTAACAAAAACTCAGAAACTAACAATAAAGTTTTTTTTAAAAGTCCTAATGCACTTGACTGCTAACCAGAAGGCTGGCAGTTCAAGCCCACCAGCCACTCCTGGGAAGGAAGATGGGGCAATCTACTTCCGCAGTGATACTGCCTTGGCAATCCAAGGAGGGGTCGCTATGAGTCAGGTCCGACTCAACAGCACATAACAACAACAACAACAAATATATGACAAAATAATATACAATTCTACTCACATGTTAATGTTAATTGTCAGGTTGTTTACAGTGAATGGTAATCTGTATTCCACATCCTTCTGTATTTCAGCTATACTATAGGAAAAAATTTGAAAAGAAATAGATTAATTAAATTATTATAAAGTTATAAAATCATTAATGGTTAAAACAAATATTAAATGCCAAAGCCTACTAAAACTCAATTACTATAAATTAACCCATAAAATCCAGACAAGCCTGTAAAACCTGTATGTTGAGGGAAAAGTTGGCACATCATCAAGAAAGACCAGTAACTTGAAAAGGATATTATGCTTGGTAGGGTCATTGAAAACAAGTGAAACCCTCAGTAAGACTCATAGACACAACAGCCACAACAATGGGCTCAATCATATCAATTATCATGAAGATGGCATAGGACAGGCAACATTTCATTACGTTATATATGGGTTGCCATGAGTTGGAGTTGACTAGATGGCAACTAACTACAATATTCTTAAAGATCCAAAATGGAGAGGCACATATTGAAGTACAGAGGCTAGGAAAAATCCCTGTATTAATGTACCAATTTATCCAATTCATCATTTAGCAGAAGCCATTGTAAGCCTTCTGGTAGACAAGGATAATCTATGGTCTGTAATTTGCCCTAATTTCAGGAGTAGCTACCTGCTACTATGTAAACTTTAAAATGCTAAACTTTTTCTGTAGGTGTGTGTTCATGTGTGTGTGTTTGTACATTACATTTCCCCACAGAGTGAAATCATATCGTACTTACAAAGGATGGGGAGATAAGATTCTAAGATTAGTTCTCAGGATAAATTTCTTTAGAATCAAAATCACTCTTGAAAATCCTATATAGTCTCTATAGCGTTTACATAGTTTTAGATATCTTAAAAAAAAAAGTCACTGCCATCAAGTTGATTCTGACTTACAGTGATGCCCATTGGGTTTTCAAGGCTATAAATCTTTACAGAAACAGACTGCCCCATCTTTCTTCCACAGAGCAGCTGGTGGGTTCAAACCACTGACCTTTTGGTTAGCAGCCAAATACCTTAACCACTACACCATCAGACCTTAGTTTGAGGTATACAGCCTATATGTAAGAACTCTTATATAAAGTTTGAGAATTACCAAGCTAAATTGAAGGCTAGAATAAAAGGAAAATCTAAAATGATGGAACAAAGCAAAAGTATAATTATTGGCACAGTAATCCTGAGCAAGCTACCTTTCCAGCATTGGTTTCCTTACTATAAATTAGTAACTACCCCAAAGAATTGTTGTGAAGGTCAACTGGCATAACATAGCACACAAAAACAGTATTCCACATCCTACTTTGGTGAGTAGTGCCTGGGGTCTTAAAAGCTTGCAAGGAGCCATCTAGATGCAACAATTGGTCTTTCCTTTTCCACAGTAAAGAAGAATGAAGGAAACCAAAGATTCATGGAAACAATTAGTCCAGAGGACTAGTGAACCAAGTGAACCTCAGCCTATATGACCATGAGACCAGAGGAACTAGATGGTGCCTGGCTACCACTGCCAACCACTTGCAAAGGGATCAGTGCAGGACATCCTGGGTAGAGTGGGAGGACAATGTGGAACAAAACTCAAAATCATAAAAAAAAAAAAGAGATCAGTTTTACTGGTCTGATAGAGTCTGGTGAGACCCCCGAGACTATGGCCCCTAGTTACCCTTCAGGTCTGAAACGGAACTCACCCTCATGGCTTCCAGCCAAACAACAGACAGGCATATAGGTGAACATTTACATCAAATAGATATACGCCTTAGAATGATCAATCACGGGAGAACAGAAGGGCAGTATTTGCACAGGGAGATAGCTCAGGGGACAGAAATGAAGGACACTGGGACAGGGAGGAAGTGGAAAGAGAGCTGTTACACTGTCGGGAATTGCAGATAATGTCATAAAATAAAATGTGTATGAACTGCTATACGGAAAATGAATTTGCTCTGTAAACTTTCACCCAAATCACAAGGAAAAAAAAAAGTTGTGAATTAATAAATGTAAAGTATTAATGATGTTATTATTTTTTTTTAATAATCATTATTAGATATGCAGATATTCAAATCCTTTTAGATAACTTAAGATAACTATGGAATCTTAGCAGGGAATAGATGAGGAATTCTAACGTTCCTGCTTACTTTTAGGGTTCAAATAAGTCATCCTCTTGTAATACTAAGTCTCTACAATCTTAAAAGAAGTTTGATGTGTTAAGAAATGAAAGAAAGAGTTGAATTGCATCTTATGAAAGAATCATTCTAAAGTTAGCATGCACATTAAATGTATGGCTATCAAATTACTAAAACTGGAGATTTTAATAGATTAGCCCCATAAACTGTGTAATATACTGAGTACTGAAGGAGCTCTGTTGGTAGTGGTTAAGGTATTAGACTGCTAACCAAAAGGTCAGCAGTTCAAGCCCACCAGCTGCTCCATGGAAAAAAGATGAGGCAGTCTGCCTCCACAAAGATTTACAGCTTTGAAACCCAATGAAGGTTGCTGAGTCGGAATTGACTAGATGGGCATGTCTTTTTGGTATACTAAGTACTGAATACTGAAAACATTATGGACTGCCAGAAGAACGAATACATCCGTCCCAGAAAAAGTGCAGCTGGAAAGCTCCTTAGAAGTGAGAATGGCCAGACTTCATCTCACCTATTTTGGTCATGGTGTCAGAAGGGACCAGTCTCTGGAAAAGGATATTATAGTTGGTAAAGTGGAGGGTCAGTGAAAAAGGAGAATGTGCTCAATGAGATGGATTGACATAGTGGTTGCAACAATGGGCTCAAGCATAGCAAGGATTGTGAGGATGGTGCAAGACTGAGCAATATTTTGTTCTGTTGTATACAAGGTTGCTATGAGTTGGAGCCAACAAGACAGCACCTAACAATAACAATACATTAAGACAAATGTATACTGAAATCTTTCTACTCAAATGCAGGAGTGTATTCTGACCAGCTGCTTTAGGCAAAATTACAATTATATAATTGTTTCACCTAATTAAAACAAGAATCATTCCCTAGATATAATTCATCACAAAAGGAATTTTGAATATTTTGTTATTTGTTGTTATTGTTATGTGCCGTCGAGCTGGACCCAACTCATAGCGATCCCTCCCTTGGGTTTCTAAGGCAGTATCACTACAGAAGTAGATGCCCCAACCTTCCTTCCGAGGAGTGGCTGGTGGGTTTGAACCGCCAGCCTTCTGGTTAGCAGTCAAGTGCCTTAGTCACTACGCTACCAGAGTTCCTATTAATACCTTAAAAAAAAAAAACAACTTATTCTAAAAATAATTCATTCTTATTATAATAAAAATAAATAAACAAAACCCAGCAACATACCACCTCTGCTACTGAGTTGATTCTGACTCATTGTGATTCTAATAGGACATAGTAGAACTGCCCCATTAGGTTTCCAAGGCTGTCAATTTTTACAGACTGCCTCATCATTCTCCTGCAGAGTGGTTAATGGGTTCAAACCCCTGACTTTTTGATTAGGAGCTAAATGCTTTAGCCACTGTGCACCAGAGCTCCTTAAAAAAACAAAGAGAATATAAAAATTACCCATGATTGTACATCCCCAAGAGAATCACTGTTAACATAGGTATACCAAACCAAAGAAACTCATTGCCATTGAGTTGATTCTGACTCATAGCGACCCCCACTGGGTTTCCACAACCATAAATCTTTACAGAAGCTGACTGCCTCATCTTTCTTCCACAAAGAAGCTGGCAGTTTGAACCACTGACTTTTTGGTTAGCACCCAAATGCCTTAACCACTATACCACCAAAAAAACCATAAACCAAACTCACTGCCATTGAGTCGATTCTGACTCACAGCAACCCCTCCTGGGGTTTCTGAGGCAGTATCTCTACAGAAGTAGATTGCCCAGTCTTGCTTCCAAGGAGTGGCTTGTGGGTTTGAACTGCCAGCTTTCTGGTTAGCAGTCAAATGCCTTAGGCACTATGCTACCAGAGCTCCTAAGTTCTACCATATGGCCATACTACTCTTTAACCCTGGCGGTTCAAACCCACCAGCAACTCCTCGGAAGGAAGGTTGGACAATCTACTTCTATAGTGATACTGCCTCGGAAACCCAAGGAGGGGTCACTATGAGTCGGGTCTGACTCAACGGCACATAACAACAACATTCTTTTACCTATCTCCTACTGACTGATATATAAATCATTGGAAATTTTTACTATTATAAATCTGTGCTCTGATAAATATTCTTGTAGACATATTTTTAGGTTGAAGGTGATACTCCTTTGGATGTAAATATATAATATTTATCATAATATGTAAATATTTGAAGTAATACTGTAATCACATCACAAAAGAAAATTTAAATGACCTTCCATTGATAATTTTATCCTCTGTGCTTTATAAAAGAAGAGAATTATTATGATTTTATCTCAGTTGCTCTGAATTTGTGGCTAAAAGGGCTGGAACAACAGTTACCTCTTTATTAATCAGAATTTGTGATTAATTAGCATTGTCATTTCTTTGGTAGTCCCTAAAACTATAAACAAACAGACCCTGAAATGCAATAGAGGTATTATTTATTGTTCAAAGATTCCTTCTGTAGAATAAATAATCATTCATCTCCTCGTTCACATTTTGTATAAACTTGGATTTCATAGTAAAACTCAGTTCAACTGAACAGCTACTAAACATCTAGCATCTAGCAAGGCAATGGAAATACAAAGATGAATACAGCATGGTCCCTGTTCTGAAGGTGCACACAGCCTGATGAGAAACTACAGTGATTTTAAAAGATCATTTAAAGATACTGATTATCATGCTTTTCCTCACAGTGTTGGAGAACTCAAGTAACATTCATAGGTTTACCTTGAAAATAAAGGATTCAGATGAGATTAAAAATGACATATGGAGAATAGACAATGCCTTTCTTCTGTCTAAATCTCTGTTGTTGTTGCTATGTGCCGTCGAGTTGGCCCCGACTCATAGCAACCCCTCCTTGGGTTTCCGAGGCAGTATCACTATGGAAGTAGGATTGTCCAACCTTCCTTCCGAGGAGTGGCTGGTGGGTTTGAACCGCCAGCCTTCTGGTTAGCAGTCA